ATTCAAAGTTGCAGATACTGTAAGAAATATCTAAAGAGAAGACAAGAAGGCATCAATAGTTGTTTTTTCTAAGGTTCTCTGCTTGCTGTTTCTATATTTTGAGTAAGGAAAAGCTCTGTACATCTCAATAGGGTCAGATTACTACATACACATTTGCACACAGTGTTTCTTTTATGTCATGTATACTGACATTACACACACGTAAGTAAAGCAATCTGCTTCTAAGTCAGCAGCAAAAATGAAATTTGTTAATGTCATCAGCATTTCAGGAACAAAGACAATAACTTTGCTACTTAGTTTGAGACTGTGACCAGTAGCCTCTGCTCCTGACCTCTGGTAATATGGTTAGCATAACTAACGCTGTTTTGTAAGGCAAACAGTCATTCTCTGAGACCGAGCTGGTCACGTATTAGTCCCTTTTCCCCTCATTATCAGGCCCTGAAGGTCCTGCGCACCAAGTAGACGAAAACAAAGATTTCTTCTTCCCCTCCCTATTGTCCTCAAGGTTCTTGGGCACCAGGCCGCCTACTCCCCTCCTTACCGGCCTTGAAGGTCCCAGGCACCCCGCCAACCAGGTGGTGATGACCCCGTCACAGAACAGGGAAGTGTAACAGCACACAGAGCACTGTATATAAAATCAAGCAGTTACAAGTCCTAAGTGGGAACTTGGACCACAACTGCTGCTGGACAGTGAGACCCGTGATCCTCCAGTGGCCAGGGACACCTCCACCGTCGTCTGCTTCCTCCAGAGACTGAGTGAATGACTCGTATTCTTTTATGTGTTTTTTGAGTCTAGATCATGATTTTTATGTCGATATGCAAGCCAACTATTAAGATTTGACCCGATCTACAGGGGGTCCAGGTGATTAGAAACCATAAGCTAAGCTGTGCTATAAAATTCTGTGCTCCACTACTTATAAAATTGTACTACACTGATTCTGCTTGTAGAAATCCTGTGCTATTCTGATCATTAATTCTACGCTATGCTAATCATAAAATCCTGTTAAAAAAAAAAAAAGCTGTAATTGTAACTACAACTTAGTGCCATTGTCATTCTGCCAAGGATCCCCAAAAGAACCTGTCTGTCTCTGTCTTGGATGACAGAGACACAACATGTTTTAACAGCACATGTAAGTTATATTACATTGTCCTTTAATTATATTAGACTTTCTAGTTTTCTCTACTATCTTTCTTTAAAACCTTCCCAAAAGTCATGCTTTAGTAACTCAGGATTAAGGCAGAAAACAGGATTCTGAAAAATAATAACAAACGTTCACATCTCTACTTTGCACAGACAGAAGGATGGGGAAATTTGCAGTATACTGCTCCAGATGTCAAATAACCAATATGTTGGCATGTGCTATGCCTCAAAAGCTACATCTATGCTGCTATGCAAAACAGAGTAAACCCTCTGGGCCAGATATCAGTGTCTTGGTAGAGCCACATCATGTAACACGTAGCCTGGCCCTACTCCATATCCCTAACACACAGTTGATCTTTTCTTCTCTGCATAACTTCTAGTTCAAAGTGTCTGAAATAATGTTTGTTGTGCTACATCCCATCAGAGCAGATTTTTTTAACACTGAAGTAAGGGATGGAAGTAATTAGGGCTGTTTGAAGGTGCAAAACATGCTGAAATAGTGTTAGAGGTCTGTGTAGCAGGAAGGGATTCAAATCTCACACAATTTTTCCACTTGCTTCCACCAAGCAGTCCTTGGTGCATACTATCCCCCAAGACCTGCCAGGGTGCCGCTTTGGGGAACAGAGGTTGGCACGTGCCAAAGCCATGCTGGAGAACATGCTGGCTGTTAACATGTGTGGATGACCTGTGGTCCAGCACTCAAAAGTTGCTCCCTGCCCCCATTTTGTTGACTAAGATAATGTAACTGACATTTGCTTGGCATGAAATATTGAAGTGCAACATAAAGCAACGCAAAGGACTCATGGAACTACAAGCAAGGCAGGTCATGTCACTGCTTGTTACTGCTCTTCCTGATGTACCTTTTTGGTAATGACTTCTTTTGTCCTGTCTCCATGGCCTTTGGCTGCCTGCTGCTCCTGCTGAGGTGGGGAAGAGCTGGAAGGGACGAAGTAGCTGGGGGAGGCCTGCTCTGTAAACTGGCTCTTGCTCAGGTCCCCTTCTCCTGGCTGGATGACTATCTTCAGGCGTCTGGCACCGATTTCCAAGATATGATCCGTGCGGGATTCCACGCTCTTCTTATCTGCAGTAATTTGGGGACAGGAAGATGAGGCTGATAAAGTTACCTTAAAACTTTTTGGCTACAAGCGGCCACAGAGATCACCTGCCCTTTGCCAGCCCATGCACTGCCCAGGGGCACAAGATGGTGCCCTCGGCGGCCATTTCCCGCCCCCTC